TCCAACTGCAACTCAAACAACATTACTAGCAGAGTCCTCATCCAAGAAGTTAGCTTCTGAGCATTTTAGTCTACTCAAACAATATTACATTATCTTGCATAATGTATTGTAACAATTCTATCTTGAAGTAGGTTGTGTACTTCAAAGCTTGCCAGTTGAGCTCACCCTTGATGTTTATTCAGAACTGCCTTTATGCAGTGCATCTCTTAACGACGTGGTTCTACTTAGAGCATGCCATGATTCTTCTTAATTGTCCTACTATTTGTCCTAACAGCACCTTTCAGGCATTATCAGTCGTAAAAAAGAAGAAAGTTGCCGGCGCTGCTAATGAATTTTCTGCAGATTTTTCATTTGAATGCAGCGCCGAGGACAAGATTGATCGCGATGAAGCGGCCTTGAAGAAGTTAGTTATTTTTTTGAATATGTCTGTTTATATATTGATTTCGCTTTTGAAACCACTTTGTTTCTAAGTATGTTCAGCGATTATAATAGATCGTGGTTTGCTTTTTGCTAGTTCTGCTAAATAGATATTGATTTACCTATTATCTAGAATTACATCCTTAAGTATTTTGTGAAACTAGCGCTGTCATCTTTGACAGTTTTCATCTTTACTTTCATTTTTTAGGTATTTACGCAAGGAGGTGGACTCAACGCTTGACGAGAAAATTGCTGCCATACGCAAAGCGAAAAATACAGCCAAAGATGTAGAAGTTGAAATGAATAACGATGATGAGAATGTTGAACAGTTGGGAGCACTAGATGCTAAAGGTTTGTCCTACGGATATTTGTGAGAGAGTACATTTTTGAAGTTTGAAATGCTCGCAACTGTATTTGATAACATTAAGGAATAGCTTAGATAGAGATAGATTTCTCAACATATCAATACAGCTAGCCATTTCATGCGAAATGGAAGTCAGGAGAAATTTATAAATAGTTGAAGCAGATCATGTTCAGATAGATTACGAGAAAAGAAGAAGACGGGTCGTAGAAGCACTCAGAAGCAAGACAGTTTCTTCGAGGAAGCGATGGAGATATCAGACTCGATTACTTTTGAACAAATGAATCTATCAAGGCCTATGTTAAAAGTTAGTTTCTTGGGTTGAAAGCTGAAGATAGCATATTTCTTGAAAATAATTTTCATCTTTGTAGACTCAGTTTATTACATTCTTTTCAGGCAATTACTGCTGCTGGATACACAGAACCTACTCCTATTCAAGCTGCTTGTATACCAGTTGCTCTGGCAGGTAAAGACATTTGCGCATGCGCGGCTACAGGAACCGGCAAGACAGCTGCGTTTGTTTTACCAATCCTGGAGCGACTTTTGTATCGACCAAGTGCTCGTTCATGTACTCGAATTTTGGTGCTCGTTCCGACTAGAGAGCTTGCCATACAAGTTTTTCAGGTAAATTGAATAACCGGGATTTTTCATTTTTGCGCTAATGAAAACTTCAGGAAATTTTTAGGTTTTTCGGAAATTATCCACTTATTGTCAGATCGAAGTGTGTCTTTGTGCTGGTTAGTTCTCCTTTTTTTTTGAACACAAATTTTTCTTCTCAATTCTTATTTCACATCGTGT